CCCTCCCCCCCTCCCCCCGCTCGTGCACAAATACCTCTTCACAATGTTTGCAGACGAAACTAGCAGATTCGTTTTGCTGCATTCTTCTGACATTTTCTCTTGTTAGTACCACATTTTCCTCATTTTCTCATCTATCCCGACTTGTCAAAACGTACACGGGAAAAATCTTTTTCTTTCGTTCTATTAGCAGAATTACAAACACAAATTCGGACGACAAATTTTATTGGCGATATTTTAATTTGTTGAGTCTTTCTTCTTTTTGAATTCGAGAACATAGAGGACCATAAAACGTAATATTTTCTAACGTATTTTGCACAAACAATCAATTTAGGTCATTTAAACGTCGACCTGCGGAAGAGTAGTAGTAATAGAAAACCGTGCCAAATGTAAATGTACAAAATAATAATTCAATAAACGCATGATTCTATGTCTATGATCCGTACGTAATTATTTGTATCGTTCGTTTTTTTCTTCAATTGAAACGAACTCAATTAAGAAGTATGTTCATCATGTATTCATCGTGAACTGAACCTCTGGAAAGTTGAGCTGAAAGAAATCAGACGTGTTAACTTTAGAAAGTTAAACGGGGAAAGGGTTTTGCCATAATGAACAAGTGAAGAGAGTTTAGACATTTGGAACGAAATTGTCAGTATTTCCCCAATTCTATGGAGTTCAGTCTGGACAAGTACTTAGGTAAGAACAAGAACAAACGCGAAGACTAAGTGAGCTGCCTCAACATAAAACAGGTAACACGGTAGTTGCGCCTGACACGTTATGTACGACACGAAACTAAACTTTCAGGTTTATTGGGAGAATGTGTTGCTCAAAGTGGATGGGTCAGACGAATTAATCATTGTGATTGTGATGTTGACAAAAGAATTTTGTCCGGGTTTGGAAAATCAGTTTAATTACTAGAAAAAATAAACAAATGTTCCTGTGGTAGTTGAGATACCTGAAAATCATTGTTCTCGTAGTATTGTTTGGCAATAATTGTTCAAGTTCTAAAATCTTGAACTATATTAAAATTGTTTATTTGCTATCCCTTCTTCAAAACGATAAAAGGAAAATCCTGCTAATTATTGGTATTATTTCATCATATTTAAAAACTCAATGACCGGCTATTACTCCAGCAGTCTTCCTAGGCTAAAAGTCTCTGACAAGCAATATCTCTCACAAATTGCTTTAATCCGCCCCATTGAACAAACGATTCTATACATTTAAAGATAATATTCTCAGCACACATGTGCACTCGTCCCAAAATTCATTCCGGGCAGATAGAGCTTAATCCAGACAGCCTGCGTGCATCCGATCATTAGGCCGTAATTCTCAAGATGTGTAAGAAAAATGTCGATTTTTGAAATAACAACTAATTTTTACACATAATTCAATATTTTTAAGAAACTGGTGCAGGTCTAATGTTGGTTAAAACCCCCTGTTTTTTCGTAAACTGAAAAAATTCAAAACTTTTGCGGCGTCTTCCTCTAACTACAATTATGAAGATACCTTTTTTTCTTAATAAAATGTGTTCATCAAAAAAATATTTTTAAATAAGGTGATGTTAAATTTTTCGAAAATATGAGTATTTTTGGAGTAATAAGTCAAAGTTTCACACCCGCTCTGAAAATCTTGGGCTTCTTGTTCGTAATTTTAGAGACCTTTTGAGGCAGGCTACGTATGTTAAAATGTGTAGTGTGTGTATATATATCATATTTCTTTGTTCGTTTCTTACATAGTAGATTTTGTTATACTTTCCAAATTAATCTTTTAGAAATTATTTAAAACCTATTTGAAATAAATATGAAATAAAGATCACTAACCGTCAGTCACCCGTCTATTTACGTTAATGCTACGTAAGTTAGAACTCGTATATTATTTTACATTGCAATAAATTCTTTAATTGTGTTAAATGTGAAAACAAATAAATGTGCATTTGACATTGTTACCCATTTTTGTAACGCCGCACAGATTACGGAAGATAATAATAATGACTGCTTTACGTTTGCGGAAATAAAAACGTATCATTTTATATATTTGTAATTACAATAGTAGAGTTTAATAATTACTATTATATATTTTTAGATATATTTGCATTTGTTTGTCAACGCAATCGGTATCGTATTATTTATTAACTTTTAATTATTTTAATTTCTGGCATTGGGCTTATTTTCTTACCAAAATCTACGATTTCAAATGAATTTTACAAAAAATAATTCGGAGAGAAATTATGGTATAAATAGTATTTCATAGCCATTACTAATGGCGAGAAATTACGGGCTGTTTTATCACCATTAGTTTTAAATACGAAGAGTATAAGCGAAATATGTGAAAAATGTTACATAAAACAGAATGATTAAAAATCAGCAAATACATAATTTGCATATTCTGTCGTTTGTTGCTTTGATTTACCAAGATCACAATTCTGAAATTACTATAAAGACAAAACTTTAATTGTAAAAGAGACCGATTCTTTCTTATCATAACCAGTCTCTGCGCTATACATAACCTATTTAATGTATTCATTTAGATAGAGAGTGAGTTAAAGGAATGGTTGTCAAGGGTTGAGAATATAATAGATCAACAGTCTCTTAAATATATAATTTACGGGAAGTAAAAGGCATATGCGAAATATTTATCTCTCACCGCTCATCGAGAGGGACTGAAGTCCTAAGTAGTTCAACAAACAATAAAAATTTGATTTGAAATATTTTCCACAAATAAACTGAATATGAAGGGTTGGTGTTAAACAAAATAAAATGTATATTCAGATTCTTTCACTCGATTTCAATGAAGGTTTATGTACGTGTTCATATTCACCAGTGCAGTAGAAAGTTATTTCAATGATTTAATTTTTGTGCGCTCAGGCACGAATTTGTGAGCTTCAACAAATCACATAAAATGGTACTTCCACAACAACATAGAACATGACGATTGCACAGAAAATCTGAAATGATAGATTAATGCTGGCGTAACATGTAAAGCAGTATTTTCCACTGTTACCATGTTACTACTTAAATAGTCTACTCCTTTCGAAAATGTGAAAATGGTTTACTAGTAAAAAGCCCTATCTCGGTGCTCTACAGATCCACAACTGTTTAACTTCAATTTAATAAATATATTTATTAAATTTACTAATTATTTCAAATATAAGTATAAATTAATTTGTTTGGAAAGTAACTTAAAAAATCATTAAAAACAGAGTTTAAGGCCAAGTACACATCGCATCCCAAATTAGTCAGGTGTGTTGAATGAGGTATTTGATCTGCTCTCGAAAATTCTTAGATAAGTTCAGAAAGACAGTCGTATACCATGGAACCAACTTTGTGTTACATGTTAAATGTTACGGAAGGTAATGAGCATCTGCAAGGAAGTTTAAATGACAAAAAAGGAAAAATGTTGAAATCGAAAAAGTTACGAATTATAATAAGAAGTTCGAATTGTCTTCGTAAGAAAGTAATCACCAACTTTAATGAAGGAAAGTTCTAAAACAGCATTCTAGAATAATCGTTTGGTGCAGTAATTTTTGTAAATATAACTAGTACAAAAACATATCTTAAAGTTTTTTCTTGGTCTCCTGAAAGGGTGTATTTTGATGAAATATAATTCAATATAAAACACTCCCCCTCTCTCTAAGTCTAAAATTCTTAATTAATTTATAAATGCATCATTTTTCCTACATACTGCTAAAAGTGTTTCTAAACAAGTATCATATTCGGACCCATATATTTTTATTTCACCCGTCTTAAAACATTGGTAGATATCAACTGAAAAACGCATGATATATTTGAAACGTCATTATAGCTGCTACTGATTAGTACCTCTGTAGGGGTTTCTGAAGTGGTATTCTGTTACTTTCACAGAGAAATTATCGATTTCACCTGCTTGAATAGAACGCACAAAAACGGCGAGAAAGAAATTGAAGGACAAGGAATTCCAAACTTCCCGTTACAAACTTAGAAGAAGAATAGAAAATTTCCGACTCATTATACATCATTATATTTTATTTTTAGATTTGTGAAGCGACCAATTTTAGGATGAGGCTTGCTTCGTGATACTTTACATCGAGACTCGTGTTATCTTGTGTGTTTTGTTTACATTTTGGATGGAAAAACGAAGTGTGAAGAGTAAAACCATGCTCATAAAAATTGTGGTTGACTAAATATTATGAAATGTTTGCTATATAAATTATTTATAATATATTTATAAATTATAAGAAGTCATGAAAACAAAACTTGAAGTGCCTACCTAATTATTCGTGTATCATTTAAATAATTTATTCTGCAACTACAATACAAAATAGGTTTCCTATAATACATAAATAGACAGTTCACATATTTCAGATGAAGAGGATTTTCTAAATACTCATTGTGAATATTAAAAGCCCGAAAGATAATATAATACTGCTAAGATATATGAAGAATAACAACAAGAATTAATTATTCAAAGCCATTCAAAGAATGGTTCGATGACTGGCTAATTGCAATAGAACATTTATTTCCATTTGAACAGGAGAAACTTAACAAGAAGTAAACAAGACTTCAATAAAAAATATTCAATATGTGAAAGAGATAAAAATAAAATCAATTCCATGGAAACTTATTAAAAAAAGACAGGAGACTAATGATATTTCACACTTTTCTACATGATCACATGCAAGATTTCTCGAAGAAAAGAGAGCAGAATCCAAGCACAGATTTCTTGTGTCAGATGCAGTAAACTACAATTGATAATAAAAAACCGTTTTCACATTAATTTTTAAGTACAAAGAAATGTCGAGGAGGCAGTTCCATAATCACAGCTACTTCTATCATTCCAAAGAAGAACTTTTCTTTTCTTCGTTTTTGTGAGGTTATATTATTTCTTTTTTTACTTGCCTGAAGCATTATAATTCTGAAAAGCGCGGCAAAGTGATGAGAACGCGCTGTTCGTCGCACACACCACTCAAACCCCCAACACACCAACATCAATCCCACTTTCTTTGGCCGTGAAGTGCATGCGCTTACCTGTCTCTGAGCGTAATCCGGGAGGAGGCCTGGCAGCGCGCGACGTCGCACACGTGACCGGACCGCGCTCGCGCTCTCGCTCTCGCCGCCCTCCGCACTCCCCAAGGCCACGCGATCGCCGCGGCCGCGCCGCTGCGACTGGCAGGCGCCCGCGCGACCGGCCCCCTCGGCGACTACGACGCGGCCGGTTCGCCCGCCCGCCGCAGGGGCGCAGCACCGCTCCGCCACGGAAAGCCTGCACCGCGGGGGGGGCGGCACTGGACTGTGGCAGCGGTTCTATACAAATACAGTTATATTACAGTTATATTTAGTAGTTGAATTGGAGTGTCGTGACGTGTTGTGAAGTGTAGTGCAATAGAGAAGTAGAGAGAGAGTGAACTGCAAGGTAGTGAAGTGAAATGAGCTGCAAGTGTAGTGAAGTAAGTGAAGTGCAGTGATTTATTAGTTAAAAATCCGTGCAGGACTGTCATAAAGTTATATTGGTTAATGCTGTTATTGTTTATTGCCTTAAAATGCTTTAAAAATTACAGTATATTACTACTCTTAGTTATAATATGTAAATTGTAGTGTTCTGCACAGGTTGCGGTACCTACCTGCAGAAATTAATAAAATATATCTATCTATCTATCTATTCTAATTCCTTCCCAATTTTGGCCGCTGTGTAGTGACGCAGGAGGCACGCACAAGGAGATGCTACCTGGCGGTCCTCTTGACAACTGTCAGCGACGGGACGGGGCATTAAATGACAGATAATATTAATAGAGGATTACTCCTATAAATAGTGCTGTTATTAATGGAAGATTACTCCCAAGCACATAGCGCTCAAACGCCGCCCCCCCCCCCACCGGGTGGGGAGTAAAAGACGCGATGCGTCAATTCAATTCGAAACTACTGATTCTCCCCCGTTGAAAAAGTAACGTGCACCTACCCCGATAATCAATTAGGTATGATGCGCGTATCGTGTGGCCTCATGATGCGCGAAACAAAAAAAAACAAAACATACAGATCTGGGTAGAAAAGTTCGCTAATGCAGTAGTATCCTTGCGGTCTCGGACTGAGGGATCTCGAGTTCGAGTGTGGTTGTCATTTCACCTCATACCCCAGGGTTAGCAACACTTGGTGTGAAAACGGAGTCAGAATGAAAATGCTGCTCCCGCATAAGAGTCTCGTGCACCTACCCTTGACCTTCCTATCCCTGAACCCCGGTGGGTGCACGTAGGTGTGGTCGATAATGGTCTGAGATGGCCGACTCGCGATGAAAAAATAATGGAAATCTTTATTTATAAACTAAGCAATCATAAGACTTGATTGAATTTCTTTTTCTACGGAATCACAAGACTCTAATCAAATAATGTATGTAGAACTATCGTCAGTATGTGGAAGCCTAACGTCTTTTACCCATGACAATCACATCGATGTCGAACATATTCGTGGTAGTTATTTTAAAGAAGAGACTGGAGAAGTTAATCATTAAGCCTTGAGTGATGTTTTTGTTATTCATTTTGAAATAAGAAAACCACTGTTCGCAAAAATACGAACTACGAAACATACACAAAATGCATGGAGCAAATTGCACACAAAATGCTTCTTTAGATTACAATACTTCTACAAATTCTTGGAGAATTGTATACGAAATGTGTTATATTCATCTCATTAAGTTTTCTTTCTAAACACTGGATCACATTGGAGATTTTATCACTTATATTTACAAATGATATGGTGACAGTGAACGTAAAAATTAAATGGATTATTGAAACGCGAATATTCCATCTTGTTTATTTCGCGAAAACCACATTGCATTTCTCTGGTTAGCTATGTCACATGATTACACATGCGAAAAATGATCGAGTGTTTGGATTTTTATCTGAGATTCCCATAGTCTGAATTTTGTGTCACATCCCTGGATATAAAAATACATTTAACTGATTATGAAATATTTTTCTGCAATTTGATATTCACATTGTTCATATGTTTAATAATATCCACCAAAAAGGCGCAATCAAATTGTCGTCATAGGATTGGTTTGCCTTTTTCTGACATAAACGCCAGAATCAGGCTACACACCTCAAAACCCCTCCTCAACTAAGCCCACAAACTTCCGTAAAATAGGGCATATCGGAGTACGTAAGCTTATCAGAATCTTAACCTGACAGTCCGCCATAAGATTCGAAAGGTACTTGCTGTTTGGAAATGTCATTAATGACTTCGTGAGTCTACAACAACTCTTAGATATGTTAAATTAGGGTGACATACAGCCTGCGTTGAAAAAGGAAAGTTACAAAACTCTTTTTCTTCAGAAATGTATTCCTCTGTAAAGAATCTTTTCATTTCTTTTATCATAAAAACATTATGTTTATAAAGAACATGTTTTCATAAAGAACATGCTTTTTAATGCGTGGAAATATGCGTATGCGCATGAGTGCAGCTCCGTTTCTCGCAGCTCGACCACTTACCGTACACCAATCGAGACATATGAGGTGTCATTGCACGCTTCTCGGTCACCTGTTGGGGAACTGATAATTGGTTTTTGAACCCAAACATATGATTCAAAGAAATTTTCTAAAACTTTTGTTTCGTGTTTTGGCGCTACGATCTTAGAGAGTATGTCGGGAATTAAACCAACGCCACCTAAATAGATCTATGTGAGTCGCATTGATTACACCCCTTACCCCGTGGTTATGTTTAGTCCACGACACCAACATTTCCTTCCATGAGCATGGCAATACTGATTGGGGATAAGCAAGCAATGCTAAATAAATATCACCTGGTAAAATTTGTAGTGAATTTCTAAGAGTGAAGTATTTCATGCGTATTTTTGTAATGAATCTGCAAACTACCTTGGAACATTCAATTTGAAGAGCATAGTACTAAGTATGATACAAAGTAGTAACATTTTAATGTATAATATATATATATCCTTCAAAACACAAATTACACTGAGTTTGTGAAGTTTTAGAATCTTAAAAAATGGAGAGACGAAAATATGGAAGGGTAAAGATACTCCGGGAAATCAAATGTAGTTGTAGAAGATTTGGTGACAGAATTTTCTGAACTAAATGAGAATGATCTTACATTAGCATTAGAGAATAACGCAGAAGAACTGCTGAGAGTTGATCATTTATGTTCATATTAAAAAAGTAAACAATATAGCTGCACTACATTCCATCCGCATCTTTCATACCTGCAAATATTTTTAACGGCGATTATAATTTTGAAATTGCAATATTAGCAGGTCATGTCCCGTATAGCGGAAGGACATTGAGTGTTGGGAGGTTTTGAACATGAGTACATTAACAGGTACTGCGATTCATTGGTACATTTAATGTCAGATACTGCAAGGACACTTTTTAACAAAGCTGGGAATGAAAGAAATGAAGTATGAAACAAATTTTCAACATGAAAAGACTTTTAAAACAGTTCACAGCGTCGGGTTTTAAAACGGTTGAAAGTTATCGGTTTGATTCGCACACTTTCGAGGTGAAATGACGCTTTCTATTGACCAATTCGACAGATCATGTGGAGAATTGAACTTTTTAAGAACCACAAAAAGAGTAATGTATTAAGATATTTGAGGCGCACACAAACCAGACACAAACTTCACGCCCACTTTGAGTACACTTCCGCATGTCACCGACTGACTCATAATCTGCCACCCCGACAGTTGGATTCTTGTATACTTGCGATAGGGTAAGGGGCTAAAATAATTTCTTCCGGTGACAGATTCGCAGTAGGAAATAGGGTACACTTGACTTGTTTTCAAAACACCTACTAAGACCTATTAAGACCACTAATACCTAGTCGTAATTAAAAGCTACTGCCAGTCACAAGAATAAAGACGGTAATCTTGGAATACAGAAGGGAAAATCATGAAAGCTTAATTTTGTTGATATCCTATGAAAGTGGTATAGAATAATAACTGAACAATTTTTTTAAAAAATATTTTATGCGTATTGATTCTACTTACAGTACAGATTCAATTTAAATGTATTTGCATTAAGAGAAAAATACGGTATGATACGGTATGAAGATATGGTATATTTAAAAACTGACGTGATATGACGTTTTTATTGTGATATTCATAATCTACTTGTAAAATTGAGTATGTTGCGGACTCTACCTTCCTGGAGGAAAAAATCTTGTTACCTAGTGTTCATTCAGAAGTCATGTTTAATTAAAGAGATAGGGCATATAATTAAGACAAAAAATTATACAATTAATTACAATAATAATTATACTAGTGTTAGAAAAGTTGAATGAATTTAGAAGCCGTGGGCATCTACAGTTTACAACTGTGTGGATTGCAGTTGACATTGAGGCATTGTAATAGGCGTAGTCATTCGAGGTTGAAGACTATGTGGGTTGCGGTTAACCTTGATACATCACAAGGAATTAGCAATTACAGTTGAAAACTGTGTTGATTGCACATAGCAAATACTATGAGTTCAAGTGTGAAATATGGCTTGATACAGTCATCTTGAAATAAAAACATAAACCACGAACAGAATCACGTGCTGTTGCAGAGTAGACTGGTAGAGTGCGCACGCCCGGGGCACGCGACGTGAAGACTTGTAGAGTGAACACGCAGAAGCCACGTGTGATGATCTGCTTGCAGAAGAATGTGGCTGCAATTGTACGGCATACACTGCAGCAGCCAGCAGCTTGGATTTACCGTGGCTGATTACTGGTAATTGCAGCAACTGCATTTGAATGCTACGGAAGTAGACATTATAGCACAATAAGAGTGCTGTTGGCACGCGTGTTAGATTACGTCACACATGAGTTGATAACTGTTCACTACGAGGATATATTCACAGTTTATGTTGGCATGAATTCAACAATGATAAATGACATCAACATGATAAATTACAGTACATTGTGCAATCTATATGCAAAACATGGTTCACTAAGCGCATTACCACAACTGATGAGTTGTAATGCACGTTCAGTTAATGTTGAAGGATAACTACATAAAATAATCTATTAATTAACTCTGTTCTATTACGAAGCAAATGAATGTGAGATATGTATCTCACTGATTCATGAAGGAACAATTAGTTACGTAATGTATAGAAGTTACACGCAAGTGGTGACATCAGTTCAGCTTTTCAAGTACACGATATAAAATAAACACAGTATCAAAAACTTATAATTTCCACATGATAGCTGAACGATGATCTGTTTATGAGTTATGGAATGCATGTATTACTCATGACGCCACGAGGTCAATTAAGAAAATTAATGCACTGAGGAGCGTGGGGACATGTGCACCTCTCGGC